ATTTAATTGGTCCCGTCTACTCACGCCTTTTCCTATGCTGTCAGTGCTCTTCCTGTTCCGTTCCTAACTTCCTCTTGGTTCCTCTTGGTTTATGTGCTGTTTGATACCCATTGTGGAGATTGTCTCCTGGCCATCATTGAACCCTGCTGCACATCGTTTCTAGTTATATACGCACGGAAGAAAGTCGGGTTGTTTGGGAACGCAGCCCCGATGGGGTGGTAAATCGGATTCAACCTAGGCTTCTAGCCGCGGCCGCTTGGGTCAACCCTGTTTTCCCGGGCGGCCCGGCCATACAAGGACCAAGGAAGGTCCGAGCAAAAAAAAAACAAAAAAAAACAAAAAAAAACAAATTGGGAAAAAATCGATGTGATGCAGAAAACTAAACTGAACACCTTTAACCTCAGGGTCACATTGAAATTCTTGACCAAATTTAAAATATGTATTTAGCTCTATTTGGCAATGTATATATCGTCAAACAGAGATGCCCGGTAAACCGTAGACAGAGAGGGAGAAGAGAAGAGGACAACAAACGAGGGGCTGTGACAAACTGTTTCGTCGGAGTCTCACCGACTCATATATATATTTTAAATTAAAATTTTAATTGTTTTTAAATTATTTTTCTAATTGTTTTTGGCCGGGCCGGGCAAGTGGTCCCGGGCTACTCTGGTAGCCTCACGTTCAACGCTAAATGCGTGCGAGGGATCGATCGCGAGGGGAGGATGAAAAGAACTTGGAAGAGTGGTTGAAATTGCCGAGTATAGTGGGATGTAGGCACTATCCCATAGTGTACCCCTCTTAAAAGTCCGGACTTCCCACTCTTTTTTAGAGTGAAGTGAGTCTTATATTGTGCATTCTTTTCTTATTTCCTCCCCGGTGCGTTTTAGGTTTTATGTTTTAACCCTATTTTTTCTTGTAAGCAATTCCTCCTCTGTATCACCGCCGACCTTTTTCCCCTGACTACAACGTACGGCTAGGCTACCAGCCGAGTGGCCCGACCGTGCAGGGACGCAAGAAGGTCCCAACAAAAAAAAAAAGAAAATAATAATAAAAAAATTGTTATGCAGAAAAATAAACTGAAACAACTTTTGCCTCAGGGTCACATCAAAAATCGTTACCAAAAAATATAAAAAATAAAAAAATAAGAAAACTTTTTTATTGTTATTTTTTTCATTATGACCTGGGGGCCTCTGCTAGCCTCTGCTAGCCCACCCGCGGTTAATGACCACCTGAAATTTCAGTATGAAAGATTCTGAAGTGGTCTGAGACCGCTGAAATGGCCTGAAGACACTTCAGGTCATTTTAGAAGTTTCGGGTGGTTTGCAGGACAAGTTTAATGTTTTTTTTTTTTTTTCTGGCTGTTTTTTCAGCCACTTCAGGTCATTACAGGAATTTCAGGTGGGGACCTGGAACCGCTGAAGTGGCTGAAGCTTCTGAATGGGGTTTCAGCCACTTCAGGTCATTTCATGAATTCAGGTGGGGACTTGAAACTGCTGAAGTGGCTGAAGCTTCTCAAAGGGGTTCTAGGTACCCACATTTGGCCATTTGGATGGGGGTACCTAAAACACCTTTCAGAAGCTTCAACCACTTCAGGTCATTTGAGGAATTTCAGGTGGGGACCTGAAACCGCTGAAGTGGCTGAAGCTTCTGAAAGGGGTTTCAGGTACCCCCATCCAAATAGTTGGATGGGTGTACCTGAAAGCCCTTTCAGAAGCTTCAGCCACTTCAGGTGGACGGGGGTACCTGAAACCCCTTTTTGAAGCTTCAGCCACTTCACGTCATTTCAGGAATTTCAGGTGGGGACCTGAAACCACTGAAGTGGCTGAAGCTTCTGAAAGGGGTTTCAGGTACCCCCATCCAACCATTTGCAATGGATCTGTAGGCAATCTGAAAGTGGTGTATCAACCTGAAGTGGCGGAACTGGCTGAAGGCGGTTTCAGACGACCCCATGTATAGATGCACACACGATCTGAAAGTGGTGTTGTAACCTAAAGCGGCCGAACTGCCTTCGGGACTTGAACTCATGATCTATTTACTAACAGTTACATGTGTCCCATTTAGCCACATGGCTTGGGTAGAACTCCTGCGTTCGCTTTGATTAATGCCTACAAGCGATGTGTTACTCCATCCTCCAGAGATCGAATGTGGGCCCAGAGAAAAGAAGACAGAAAAAGGCGATTGTAAGTCTCCTTGGCCCTGTTCTTCATCTGCAGATCAACCCGCCCTTCGGTCACCTGTGTGTGATACACAAGTGCTTTGCTGGAAAACCATTCGTGAACGGGCCTGGGGCGCTAGTACAAATTCAGTCAAGTTATTGATTCTATTCACAATTTGTCTCGCACTGCCGTTTGTTTTCCTTTTTCCTTTTCCGTTGAAAAGGGATCATTACGGATGGGTTTGCTTCAGGTCCGATGAATCTTGCAGTGCGCGAGCCTCGGTGGCTTGTACACGATCTCGTGCAATCTCACTACCGTGTTCTCCCGAATATAATGCATGCTCACGATAGCTGTATTTGGGCCCAAACTCAGTCTACATACGTAGAAAATGACTCTTTAATGTCCATACATAAAATTCGGGGCTATGACGGTCGGAACGAATGGGAGGGCAGAGTACTGTGGAGATTTTGGGCAAGGGATCTGGGGCCAAAGAAAAGAAAAAGTTGAGGATTCTGTGCCAGATGTGGCAGACTGCGTAGCCACACGGTCCCTGTAGGACCCGTCCCGGACATTCAGCCTAAAAGCCTAAAACTTAGGAGCTACAGGCCCCGGTCGTT